TTGAAGATGGTGTTTTTGAAGATGGTGTTTTTGAAGATGGTGTCCATGGCGATGGGGTTAGTCTTCCTGGAGGTGCCGGGGGCCACGCCGAAGAATCCGTTCTCGGGGTTGATTGCGCGGAGACGGCCGGATGAGTCGAACCGCATCCAGGTGATGTCGTCGCCCACGCACTCCACCTTGTAGCCCGGCAGGGTGGGCTGCATCATGGCCAGGTTGGTCTTGCCGCAGGCGCTGGGGAAGGCGGCCGCGATGTACCGCTTCTGGCCCTGTGGGTTGTTGATGCCCAAGGTCCGTTGCAAAAGGAGTTAATCGTTGTATTTTTATGGATAAAAATGTTGGTATTATAGTTGCGTAAGATTCAAAGTAGTGAGAAGATAAATTTATCCACAGTAAAGGATAAATTCATCCTTTGAGGATTTAGGGTGAAGTGAGGGAATGCTGCTGACCTGCAGGTAAACGAATGTGTTCGCTCACCTAAAAGTGAGTGACATTCGTACACTTCGGCTACCACTGCAGTTTACAGCACCACCAGGCTTAAAAAATGTCTATAAACATTTTCTGTAAAATTACAGTACTTTTTAACAGTGTGCCTCACCTTTCTCCTTCCAATCGTAAAATTGTATTTGCACATAGGACTGCTCGTGTGCGTGCCAGGACTGCCGAGTCAGCTCTCCGGTGGCGTGCTGGTTATCGCAAAGGACAAAGCTGTTGAAATTTTCTGACTCTGAGCTCGACAACAATACGTGTCTTTGAATCCTGAACCAGAGCTGTGTGGTCTAGGCTACGACTAGTTGCCGTTGCCCCCCCCCCCCCTCCCCCTTTACGAGCTCTCTCACCGCGCATCGCTTCATGGTATACACTCTTAACTTCCTACAAAGAAACTGGTGTTGTAACATACAAAGAAAAGCGATTTCTTGTAAGTTACAAAGCTGTACCCGGAAGTACCTCGTATTACAAGGAATTATCCTCGTATTATAGAAATCTACAGCCTTGTATCAGAACGTTGCCTGAAACTATTGTTCTTACAAAGAAGTTTTCCTATATGACACAATAAATTTCATGTCTGTATAGTACTTATATTATTTTTTAGTTTAATACTTAAAAAGGCACTTAACTGTGTATAATACTAAAATAAAGCCTGCAGGCTGCACTGGATCGACATTTTACCCCCATGTTTACGCCATTAACGGATCTGAATCCTTCGGTAGGCAACCAACAGCCCCCTCCCTCCGGGTTAGCTGGACCTGAACCGTACCAGCCGGACGTCAACGGCGTCCTGCACCTACAATGCACTTTTCCCTTTACATTTAGCAATTTGGGAGGAATTGTAGCCGCACCCGTTCCAGGAATATTGCAGTTGGATTATTTTTACCAAACGGGCCAGTTGCATTCCGCCGCCCTTCACAAATAGGTATGTGATATGGTTCTAATAGGTTTTTATACCATATGGTTGCCACAAAATTGTCCTTTCTATTCTCCCTAAAATATCCCTGATATCTAGGCCATTTCTCCCTAAATTTCCCTGGGTTTTAAGCAACCGTCCCTGGTACAGTGCAGGGGCAAGTTCACGGCAAGTTCACGCTTGTGAACCCCGTAACCCAATTTTTAAGTACAGTTGTTAAATAATGTCTTTGTACCAGTTACGGGTTGTAATGATCTAATGTGGAAATGTATATTAAGGGATAAATTTGGAACTGTATACTGTAAAGTCTGTGCATCCGTGGAGCAGTTTCGAGGTGAAAAACTAGATTTTAATTGCAATGCTCTGATCTAGTCACGCTAAAATGGTCAAGGGGGCAGACCTGTGAAAATCGTCTAAGGCACGGGTTTGGGAGATAATATATTAGACAAAATAAACGAATCAAAGAGAAACGGGCGAATGGCCCTCTACTTGAGGAAAACTTGGGCTTCAATTTGATGTATAATAGAGAACTGTTCCCCTGAAGGAACATGGATATTTCGGCATGAACCAGACGGGTACACTACATGGTGGCGTGCACAATTCTGTCCGAACGGATGGACCTGCACCCAGAAAAATGGATTCTTGAATTAAGCCTAGCCGAGTGCTTGAATTGTGCACAGTTTGGATCAAGACGTTTTTAGCTTACAACAAGAATCTCTGTCTAGATTCAAGCTAGGCGTAGCGCAAGCATCGGCTAGTCTTGGTTGAAGCCAACCCATATTTTCCCGCCCGCTGTGTTCGTGTACG